GTTTTGTTTTTTTTTTTTTTTTTTTTTTTTTTGGCTTCTATGTAGCTTCCAATTTGTTGTACATTTTTTGGATTTATGTTTTCCAGTTAGTTTACTTACGATTCTTTTTGTATGTTCTTTTCTTTCGTGATCTTGAGATATATAGTCTTCTAAGGTTTGAAATTCTTTTGGAACTTCTGTAAAATTCTTTTTGGCCTTTTGTATTTGATCAAAAATTTAGGCTCTATAAAATTCGTCTTGTTATTTGTTAATGACATAACGAGTAAGGGTTCGAATGTGATATTTTGTTCTCTGTGATTTGTGTTATTTTCGTTGGAAGTTAGAGCTGAAGATTTAGGATTTTTGCGTTTTGTGCTCCAATTCTTGCACTTATTGTCTTTGTTCTATCTGCGTGTATTCGATCGTTTACGTAAATATTTGTATGCCTCTTAATGGATAGAATCATGTCATTTTTGCTAGCTTGATTACAATTTGTAGGGAGTCGTGAAAAATGTTTGAATCAAGAGTTGAGCTTCTCTGTAGTTTGTGACAGCAACAACATCTAAAAAGTTTTTCTTACAATGATTTTGAAGGGGGAGTTTAGCTTGGATGTTGATTTGTCACACAGGAATTGCGAAATTAATTAAGAATTATTATTATTATTATTTTTTTTGGATTGACTGAGGATTGGTTGTCTTGAACTTGAGCTCTTATTCTTGTTGTGTTTGAAATTTGTAGACGTTCTACAGCTCAAATTCATTTAAGGATTATATGTGAATTGGTTTCATTTAAAAGTATTCGTGTTGGTAACTTTTTCTTTTTCTTTCGTTGTGAGTGTGCAGTGGATGCATATTAAAATTATATATAGACCTGTGGTGATTGTTGAATATACAATAGATGTTGTGGTGGAATGTTATATGTGTTGGCCTAATGATAGTGCAGTAATTTCTTTTTGGAAGAAGATGAAGATTATGTTTCAATTAAGGAATTTCAAGTAAGGATTGGTGCAGTATTGTTAAGTTGTAAAGAATTAAAAGTTATTGAGATGTATATGGAATATGTAGGTAAATAAGAAAATAAATAGAATTAGATCTAGAAATAGTGAAATGGATTAACACAAAAATCAAATATTTTCGATACACACGAATACAATTACAAGTAAAAAAGTCTCATAGACATGTCAAACTTTTATCGGTCTGGTCTTTTTTGTAAACCATAAACATCAGCGTTCGTTATTCAATAGTTCAAACACACGTGTCGTTCATTCGTAATTCTTTTTTTTATGAGAAAATCTGCTCGGCCTATTGTAAGATGTCATATTACACTGCTTGATCTTCAAATTTGTTGATATTCCAATTGTGATGTAAAGAGTATGGATGAATGATTTATTGATCTTAAAATAAAAATTATATGAAAGAGGTAAACGTAGAATGAAATCTTTTTAACTTACAATTATGTGTTATAAAAAAAATAAAAAAATAAAAAATAAAAAGAATCCCACAAGCACTCCTCATACCCAGATGTTAAACAAAAAAATCTCATTTTTAATATAAATCATTTAATGTTTCAGATTTATTTTGTTAAAAATTTTAAAAATAAAAATAAAAAATTAGTTCTCATCCCCGTGCACAGAATGTGTAGCACTCCGTGTACAGAGAACACTCCAGCGCATGGTTTTTGGAAAAAAAAATTCCCTCCTTTCTCAACTTCAATTTCCCGATTTTGAAGAAATTTTGAGGTTATCCGTGTTTGATGAAATTTTAGTCAAATTTGATTGGAAACGTGCCAATGAACAAAAATCTATAGCTTGGCTGCTGAAGTGGGACCAATTTTGGGCAAATTCCTTCGTTTATACGTTGTTTCCTTTTCTAGTAAGTTTTGTTTTAATTATATCTCGATGAATTTAAATCAAATTTGAATTTCGTTTGTTGGTGAATAATCCTTAAAATTAAAACTCTCAATTTTAGTCACTATCTTGATTTATTTTTTTCATTTTTGGAAAAAAGAATTCATCTCAAGCATTAAGGTAATGAGTGAATATAACACTGTGACATTTTTTTTCATCGTAGAAAATCTCCAAATAACCCAATTTTCGACGACCCACATACATCATCCAAAAACCGCGGGATTCTTAAACATAATGCGATTACGAGAATCCAAAATATCTACCCAGTATTTTAATAAAAAAGACTTAAAATATCACTTATAATTTCAACGAATTTCAGCAATCAACTAACAGAAAGTCACAAAAAAAATAGACCCAAAATAAAAATCCTAAAGGGAGTTCAAAAAAATCCATTAAACTTCGTAAATATTTTTTTTTCTAAATTATACACATTCCACACTAATAATAACATAATAAATACAAAATTAATGCAACGCATGAAATGCAGACTAGTGGTAGAAAAATCGCAAAAGGTTTCCTAAATGATAAGTACCACTGTAGCTACAAACTGCACTTTCTGTACGTGCAACAATTATATGAGAGGAAGAACCTTGGCCCCTCTTCATTCTCTACCCGGAGGTGTATCTTCGATTAGGGGAAATACATGGAAATGACCCAAATAGAAAGGCCATTTTTTCAAAATAGCCTTTGGCTAATTTTAATACCCAAAATACCCCTTTATAATATTACATAATAAGTTGATGAAATATAGAAATCTTTCAATTTAGTCCTTAAAAAATCAAATACTTCATAAACTTTAATAGATTACCAATTTATTTGATTTATGTTCACTCTAAGTAGCACTCCTATTTATGTTATTTGATTTATTTGATTTATATTCGCTCTAAGTAGCACCCCTATTTATTGGTATCAGATTCATAGAGATCATGAAAATTAAAATAAGAAAAATAAATAATTATTGGTGTTTAGAAGAAGAAAAAAGATAGTTATATATTTTTAAAACCTATTCATAATAAATTAAAAATAATAACTTTGACAATAATTAAAGAACTTCCTAAAGAAATAAAGGAACAAATATTAGAAAAATTAATAAAAGAAAGAATAAAAGATATTTATACATATGAAAAAATTATTAATATATATTAAGATGAAGAAAATAATTTATATTATAAAGAAAAATACGAGTACAATTGATAATACTCATCAAAAATTAAATAAATTACTTTTAAAAATGAATAAAATACAAGAAGAAATAGGAAATATAATGTTAATACCAGAAGGAGTGAGAATACCAAATAATAGACAATTAACAAAACTAAAATGTGAAAGACTAAGAATTGAGAGCAAATATTTTACTATAGTTAAAGAAGAATTGTAGATCCAGAAATAGTTGAGAGAAGATTTAGAAAAATAATAGATAAGAAAAAAGATAAAAAATGCAAATTAACTTATGAGTTAGAAATAAGAAAAAATTAAGATGTCAATGAGTGAATATATGAAAGAATTAAAATCATTAATAAAAATGTTAATAAATGATGTACAAGAATTGAGAAATGAAGTAAAAGAAACAAGAAATGATATAAATATATTAAAAATTGATATTAGAGAATTAAAAGAAAATAATAAGAATAAAGATAAAAAAATAGTATAGAAAAAGAAATTATTCGAATAAGAAAGAAACATATAGAAAAAAAAATATAGTAATGGAAACAGTGAGCATGGATGATGAATTTTGACAAAACATATTACCAAAGATATTAGAAGAATTTAGAGAAAAATCACTAGAAAAATTAAAAATAGAAGAGAAAGAAGATAAAAATGAATGAAGAGTTAGATTTGCTAATAGAAAATTTTGATCAATTTAGCCTAACTGATATAAGTGAATACCAAATTTTAATAAATATTGGAGAATGACCTAATCCAGTAGGAACCTCTAAACAAGAATTACACGATACAGATAAAAGTTATGCACCCATATATAATAAACTATATAAACAATTTTATGATAAAGTAAGAGATAGACAATCACCTAAAAGAAATAAATATAAAGATAGGTTTGAATTAAATGATAATTATGATAAACCAATTAATCATGGTGGAACAAAACTAGATCTAAATTGTAAAATAGATACTAAAAAAGCCTTATTAACTTGGACAGATTCAATGATATTATTTTTTTTATATAATAAAGATGACACATGGGAAAGTACTGAAAGAAGAATAGATTTTTTAATAGTATCCTTTGAAGAAGATGTTAGAAATTTGTGGGAAAGAATAAGTAATGATACAAAAATATTAATAAAAAGAAATGTACAAACAGAAATAATAAAATCAGATAGACAGGGTATAGAAAAATTAGTAGAATATGTTTCGGATGAATTTCTAGGAGAAAATTGGATAAGAAATGCTGAAAAAGATAATGCTAGAATAAAATTAATAAACTTAACAATATGTGATATGTATAAAATTAAGGAATATACTTGTGAATTTAAAAATTACTATTATGTTCAATTTTATAGTAACGAAAATCAAGAAGTATACCAAGACATGTATTATAATAAGTTATCAGGTTCATGGGGAATATATTTTAAAATAGAATTTGAAAAATATGTTAGAGATAATACTGGAATACCTAGA